CGACATGAGCGCCGCGGGGTTGCTGGCTCCGGCGCCCGCCCCGGCTGCAGCGCCGCCCGCCCCGGAGTACTACCCGGAGGACGACGAGGAGCTGGAGAGCGCCGAGGACGACGAGCGCAGCTGCCGGGGTCGCGAGTCCGACGAAGGTGCGGGCCCCGGCCGGGGATCGGGGATCGGGGTCCGGGGCGGGGGTGGGGGGCTCGGGGGCAGGGGTCAGAGGTCGCCAGAGGTCTTCAGAGCCAGGGGTTCGCCCCCTTTGAGATCGTCCCTCCCCGCTCAGGGTCTCAGATCCTCTCTGGGTGGCCGGGGAGAAAGTCATCCCTGGGAGTGCACTTGGGTCGTCGCAGGGATGCCCAGCGTCTCTCCTCAAAATGCTTAACCCCCTAGCTCCGCCGGGGGACCTGGAATCTGCCAGGTGTAAGTATTCGTTTACGCGGGCACCTACCCCAGCTTTGTGACACCCCCCTCCCCCGCGTCCCCAGCCTCTTGTTTACCCACCTGCTGCGGAGTAGTATGGAGTCCTCACTTCCTGGGTAGGTGGGAGGGTTCAATGAAACCCGCTTTGCCGCTGTGAAAGTAGACGCAAGGGGAGGTCGGGATTTGTTTTGAGTCCCGAGTATTTTGCATTATTGCTTCCCAGAGCTTCACTTCTCAATCTGGACTTTGTTTACTCGTGTGGCTGTAAGTGTGAGGGGACACCCAGAGAGATCGAGGAAGGAGCTAGCTAGGTGGAGAGGTGCGGAGGGGGAAAGAGGGGGGGAGGCCTTTGTATGAGTGGCATGTAGTATAAAGTCGGGCTGTAAAAAGCTTCGCTGTCTGCAAGGAGGATCGTCTTACTTATCTTAGTCTCTCTAATGCCTAGGGACGTAGCTGACTGGCTCTAGACAGGACCTCTGTGAAAGTCCCTTTCAAAAAAAAAGAGCGGGCAGCGTATGCAGAGCAGAAAGTTGAAGGAACTGAATGCATTTGGTTTAACTATGTTAAAAGGCAAGGCTTAACCGGGGATTTTGCCTTGTGTAACGCTGCATTGCTTTTAATGACCACGAGGGGGTGCAGTGAAGACAAAATTGATCCCCTTCCTCTTCAATGTAAGGGCTATCGGATTCAGCTATTTGCTTAAAACCAGTTTAAATTGTTATTATTTTATGTATGTATGTGTGTATACACACACACACACACACACACACACACACACACACACACACATATGTGGCCTAGAGAAATGGTTCACCCGTTTAGAGCATTTACTGATTTTTCAGAGGATCCAGGTTTTAATGGCTCACGACTGCCTATAACTCCAGCTCCGGGGGATTAGTACTTCCTGACCTCTGACCTCTGTGGATACCAGGCAGGCAAGTGGTGCGCTCACACGCAGAGTACTCATACACATAAAATGAAATAAATATAATTGAACATGTTTTTAATTAAATTTTGTTTATGTGTATGTCTATGTGTCTGAGTTTATGTGCACCACATATGTACAGGTGCCCCTTGAAACTAGAAGAGGGTGCCAGATCCCCTGGAACTGGAGTTACCAGACATTATAAACCATCTGATGTGGGGGTTGGGGAACCAGTCCCATCATCCTCTGCAAAGAACAACTTTCTTAACTATACTGAGCGCATCATGCCTCCAGCCCTTGTTTTCAAATCTAGTTTTGGCCATGCAAGGTTTCGGAAAATTTTTTAAAAATTATCTTGCTCCTCTCCTGCCTTTTTTTTTTTTTTTTTTTTTTAAATCTGTTAACTTTGAAAGCATTTCAGTTGTTAGAACTGAATTTGTTGTGAGGATGGTGTCCTTCTTATTGTATATATCTAATGCCTGGTGAGATGAGCTTGTGCGTGCTCAGAGCCTGTCTTGAACTGTGCACATTGTTGCTCTGTGGCCTGCCCATCCGGTGTGACCTCTTCTCTGATTGTACATCATATAAAAGCAGATTTTCAGCATAAACCCAAGATGGAAAGGCACTGGCATTTTCTTTTTTGCTTTAACCACATGTAATATAATGACTTTTGCTAGTAGGTTCATGCAGGCCCACATTGGGTAGGAATTTGTTATTCTCCCAGATGCCCGTTAATCATGCTGTCTTGGTGCCAGTTCTGTGGCTTTTGATCTCAGCCGTCACTTCTCCCCCCATCTCATGCAGACACAGAGGACGCCAGCGAGACAGACCTGGCGAAGCACGATGAGGAAGACTACGTGGAGATGAAGGAACAGTGAGTCGGGCTTTGTGCCTTTTCTCTGGAATACACAGTTGGCTCAGTCATCCTAGAGACTCCGGTTTTGACCTTAGTGCTTGCAAAGCTGGAATGTTCCTGTCACTTCCCCTCCGGGCACATCTAAGAGTCTTCCTGGTTACGAGGTTCTGCGTGGAGGCTCCAAAGAGCCATGACTGAAATGGTGGGGTGGGGGTGATGAAGCTGTGGTTGATGTGAAAACTGGTACCCAGAGAAATGGGGGTCTTGCAGACCCCCTGCCCCTGTCCAGTATATTGTAGGCGTTGCGCTACGTGTCCTGAGTATGCTCAGAATTCAGGGAAGCTGGGATTGAAGCAGGCGTACGAGCCCTTCCTGCTACACAGCTCTGTTAGCTCCCACACATCCTCACCTAGGCCCTCCCTTATCTTCCATAGTCACCTCTGCCCAGAGAGGCTAAAGCGCTGTTTGTTTTTTGGATGGAGTCGGGGGAAATAGTTTTGAGACCAGGCTAGCCTCCAGCTCACAGAGTGCTGGGGTTAGCGGTGTGCCCCGCCACACCTGGCCTTGCTTTTTTTTTTAAAAAAAAAAAAAAGAAAAACACACCACCAACCACCACCAAGAAACGAAAACCAGAGTTTTGCCAGGTTGCCACACCGGTCTCAAACTTTTGGCTTCCAGTTTTCCTCCTGCATCAGCCTGCCACAGAGACTAAGAGTGCACGCCACTGTACTGCCCGGCCTTTATCTGTGCCCAGATGGGTGCCAGGGTAGGACGGGTTAGAGAGAGGCCATCCCTCGAGGGTGAGCTGGAAATCATTTTGTCGCCCAAGGATGCTTGAACTCATCACAATCCTCCTGCTTCATACTCCTGAGTGCTGGATTGCAGATTATGAGGCACCACACCCAGCTTTCAGGAAGTGGTGATTGCTCTATTTTGAACCCTATTGGATCTGTTTTGAGGCCCTATTAGATCTGTTTTGAGAACCTATTGGGTCTATTTTGGGACTCTACTGGATCTATTTTGAGACCCTCTTGGATCTGTTTTGAGGCCCCATTGGATCTGTTTTGAGGCCCCATTGGATCTGTTTTGAGAACCTATTGGGTCTATTTTGGGACCCTACTGGATCTATTTTGAGACCCTCTTGGATCTATTTTGAGGCCCCATTGGATCTGTTTTGAGGCCCCATTGGATCTGTTTTGAGAACCTATTGGACCTATTTTGAACCCTTCAGCTCCTACAGGGAAGGTGGTCCATGTTTCTTCGCCCCTAGAGTCTCCTTTAAAATGTGTGGCCATCTCTGGAATCTGTCATTTTCAAGCTTTTGAACCCAAAGGCCGCACCTCAGCCAGGTGTGGCTGATGCTGGCCCAAGGTTACATTGAATAATTCACGCGTGTGTTCTCAGTTGCACCCCGGAGCTCTGCCTGGCCTTTCTACTTTGCCAGCTTTTGACTGGTGGAGTCTGGCCTGTTTGAAATGCATCGTGACAAGGGATCCCATGTCGGCCCCGCCCCCTTCCTTTATCATTCTGCAAGCATTCCATTTCCAAGAGGACTCAGGGCAGGAATTGGCTACTCCCTCTGTGTGGTGGAGCTTGGTGCCCTGGGTCCCACAGACTTCTCAGACACTGTCTGGGCGGCTGCTGCTCTCTTTCTTGTCCTTGTCATGTTTCAGAAACAGTGTGTGTGGGTTTTTTTTTTTTTTTTTGAAAGATCGATTTATTTTTTGTGTATGGGTGTTTCGCTTGTGTGTTCTGTGTACCACATTTGCAGTGCCCTCGGAGGCCAGAAGAGGGCGTTGGATCTCCTGGAACTGGAGTTTCAGACTGCTGTCAGCTGCCACACAGGGGCAGGCCCGAACTTAGAGCAGCCAGTGCATCTCTCCAGCCCTCCTCAGCAGCAGTTTTAGAGATGAGCTTTTGACTGGCCAGACCTCCTTCATGCTCACTAAGCTAGACAGCCGTTGTGGTGACAACTGAATGCTCTCAGTCATGTTGAACATGAGCTGCACATTAGGGTTGGTCATGAAAGAGGGTTTGGGGTGGGGCTCACAGGCCTCTCACTGTCCTGAAAAGACGTGTGTTGCATCTGTCAGCCTTTCTGAGGAGTGAAAAGGTCTCGTGGAAGGGTCTTCTCTTAGGCCTTTGCTGTTGCTGAGCAGTTGGGAGTATTTTCCCTGGAGAAGCAAAAGATTTGACCCGGATGTGATATGCCCGGAGTTCACAGCTCAGACAGACTTGCTGGTGTGTGTGGTTGCCCATAAGCCCTCTGTGAGAGCTGAGAAGAACAGCTCGCTTTGCTCAGTGTATTCTGGGCCCTCGTCCTGCATTTTAACTTGTAAGCTCGAGTTAGCATTGTGTTTCTGATCCTGAAAATGCAGGGCCTTTAAAGTGACGTAAGAGTTGTGGACTTGGTGCTCATTGTTCACACGCTGTGCTGGCTGTAGAGGAGGTATGCTGAGGGCGTCTCCTTGTCCCACCATCCAGGATCCTTTTGGAAATGACATTTTCGTGTGTTCATTTTGTGTCTTGACGGGTTATCCCCCGCGGTGCTGTGACAGAGGACAACTTGCAGGAGTTGGTTCTCTCCTTGACTGTGTTGGTCTCAGGGGTGGAACTCAGGCCATCAGGCTTGGTGGCAAGTGTTCTAACCCTCTGAGCCATCTCCTCCGTCCCTTTTTGCCATTTACAATTTAATTGTAGGGTTGTGTAGGTACGGTCGATACAGAAGTTATGTTTAACCTCATTTCTTCTGTGTCTTGAATCCAAGAGAGCAGCACGTGCTCCCGGTCTTTGCCGTGAGCTCTTACAGACATGTATCGGGGCCGCCTCTCCTTCACGGGATCGTACACACTGTGCCTCAGGAGTGCAGGGCTGAGTCTCCTTTCCCTCGCACCTCTTCAGCCAGACTCCCCTTCTCCGCCCCGAAGAGCTCTGATGGGGACGAAGAGCGCGTGTCCCCCCCCCCCCCATAGCCCGGTCCCGCCTCGATGCGCCGAGTGAGCTCGAGCTGCGCCCTTCCTCTCTTCCAGGATGTACCAGGACAAGCTGGCATCTCTGAAGCGGCAGCTGCAGCAGTTACAGGAAGGTAGGTGGGAGACGCCTGCCCTGTGCCTCCACAGCACCCGGGGCCGCGAGTCCTTCAAGTCTCCAGGTTACGTCTGTCTGGGAGCCTGAGGGAGGGCTGAGTCTGGCGTGTGTTAGCCATCTGACGCACGTTCTGCTGTCTCTTACCAGAAAAGTGAGTTTCTGACTTTCCTATTTCACTGTTCTCAGTATGGAACAAATTCTTGAACTGAAGTTTCCCTCGGGTCCTCGGGGCACAGATTGGAGACCACCATGTCTAAGATAGACTTTGTTTTTTTAAAAGGATGTTGTGCGTCAGCAAGATGGCTCAGTGACCTAAGGAACTTGCCACCAAGCCTTATGACGTGACATTGATGCCCACAGTTCACATGGTGGGAGGCCAGAGCTCTGAGAGATGTCCTCTGACTTCCAGACACACACACACACACAAGCACACAAACGGAAAACCGTTTTTAAGCAAGAGGGACATTGTTATCAAAGAAGTTGAGTTCTCCTTCTTCCTAAGCTGGGTCCACACTTCACCGCGCTGCTCTCTTTTCTTGGTAAATTATAAGTGGCCATGTCTTGCAAGTCCGGTGGCCGTTAAAGGCTTGGCAGCCTGGCTGAGAGCCGGCTCCTCAAGTTCTGGGACAAGCTTGCCACCCAGTGTCACTGCTCTCTAAGGAAGGTGACTTTGGGGCATGTCCCATCTCTTGCTTCATCTCCAAAGGGAAGAAAGAAGGGCCCGGAGCAGAGTGCCGACCATAGTGTGAAGCGGGCAGGTCAGCTGCAGTCTCTGTGGCACGCTGCAGTCTGTCAGGGCGACTGCTTCCCCGTGGGCACCTCCTTGCCGGAAGGTTGCCCCTGGGCCCTGGTTCTTTGCCGGGTACTGTACCCACAAGTGCTTCCTACAGATGGGGGCTCATGACAGCTGCCTTGGGGCGAGACGAACAGGCAGAGGTCTCAGGGTCGGTACCTGCACCATCTGACTGCCACGGACCACGTGACTAAGTCTTATTGAATTGATTAAATTAGCGATCTGGTTCCTCGGTTGTATTGATCAAGTTTCAGCCCTGAAGTAGCCCCTCATGGCTACTGGCCACTGTATTGGACATTGCGAAGGTAGAGTTTTCCGCCATTACAGAAAGGTCTCCTGGATAGTCTTGACCTAGACGTCACTGTAAGAGGATGGGCCTTCTCCGGGAGAGTGGGGCCCATCGTCTTAGACTGTGGGATCCCGTGATTAGCATCACCTGGGTGTCTGTATCTGGGTGTCTGTGCCCTTCTCACCCCCACTTTCCCCCTTGCCCCCCGGGGAGAGGGTTCCGATGGGGGGGCTCCACATGGTCTCTGGTACTGTCTGCTGTGTGCCTCTTCTCTGGTACGGCTCTCTAGGCCTGCTCTGGATGCCAGACGGTGACTTAGAGACGTGTGCAGAGCCGGCTGATTTTCTGAGTCTCTGCTTTGTGAATGCCCCATCAGGTACGTTACAGGAATATCAGAAGAGGATGAAGAAGCTGGACCAGCAGTACAGAGAGAGGATCCGGAACGCAGGTAGGCGCTCCAGTGTGCACAGGGCACCTGCGTGCCTGCCTCCCGCTTGTCCATGCTCATAGAACACACCCGAATCTCCACTGGGGGAACGTGAGGGATGGGTGTGCCCAGGCTGCGGTTAGGTAAGGTGGTCACCTGCCCTCCAGGAGCCCAGCGTGTCAGGGCCGCCCCTGCCGTGTGTTGCTCCTGGCGTGGTGTCCACTTGGCGGCTGTAACTCATCATGCCTGTGCTTGGTTTCTTCTGCACCTGAGAGGAGGGGTGTGGTCTTGTGATGGTCTCCATGTGTTCAAGCACTTGGTGGCATGGAATGCTTTCGGTCTGCTCTACATAGCATTTGCTCAGGGTGTTGGAGCATCTGTGCCCATTAGTACTTCCATGGCTTCAGGAAACTCACCATTTCATTGGCCATGAATACCCATCTACAGAAAATTAATGAATGGTAAGTGCTAAAGAACCATGCAGCTGCCAGGCGGCGGTGGCGCACGCCTTTAATCCCAGCACTCGGGAGACAGAGGCAGGAGGATTTCTGTGAGTTAGAGGCCAGCCTGCTCTACAGAGTGAGATCCAGGATGGGCACCAAAACTACACAGAGAAACCCAGTCTCAAAAAACCAAAAAAAAAAAAAAAAGAACCATGCAGCGGGTGGCTGCACCCACAGTCCCCTGGCTGGAGTGACCCTGGCCTCTGGAATGAGTGGTTTGTTTGTTCTGAGTGCTTTTCATCAGACAAAATGTCTGGGCTCTTTGTCTGAGTTCTGGAAGTCTGAAAGCTCCATAGAGTGTGTGAGTATGTGAGTATACTCCACAGAGTATGTTCTTTTCACAGGGAAATATGGTCTGTAGGATTTGAGGCTTGCCAAGGAGACCACGGAACCTGTGACACCCCGAAGTTTCTGGTCCATCCATGGTCTTTGTGGACCAAGTGTAGTCATCTCATACTGACCCAGGAAAGATGGGAGTCACAGACTGGTTTTGTTTCAAATGCTGGCTTTCTCGGAACTTACAGCCTCCCAGTGGAGGCTGCTGGGCTGTGTTAGGGTCTCTAGAGGAACAGAACTGATAGAACGAGTCTCTAGGTACAAATGGGGTTTGTTAGAGTGGTTCATGGGCCGTGGTCCAGCCAGTCTAGCAGTGGCTGTCTCCCGATGGAAGGTCTGAGAAGCCAGCAGGCGTTCGAGGCTGGTTATCTCAGCCGGCCTTCAGTAGATGGTGGACTCTGGAAGACGTAGGCTGCAAGGCCAGTGAGATGGAGGGCAGCAGGCAAAGAGGGCGAGCTTCCTTCCTCCATGTCCTTTCTACAGGCTGCCACCAAAAGGTGTGGCCCAGATTAAAGGTGGGTCTCCCCACTTCAGTGATTTAAAAGACAATTCCTCCCAGGTGTACCCAGCCACTTAGGTTTTAGGTAATTCTAGATGTAGTCAAGTTGACAACCAAGAATAAATAGCCATCACATAGGTAAACAGATATTCCTGTTTACAAATTGTTTTATATAAGAAAACAATTATTTTGTCCGGCACACAGTAGGACTAACGGAGCTTAGAGTAGGACTTGATGAATTTAGATCTGTCAGGAAGGCCTCAGAGTTAAGTCCCAGCTGAGCCCAGACCCTTGTCCTCTGGAGGGTCCAGAGGGTCCTGCCCACTTTGAAAGCTTCCACGTGGCCTCTGCCTCAAGGTGACTGTGTTGTGTCTCACTGGGCTGTCCTGGGTGGGTTTCAGTGGGAGGACAGCTTTGCATTTTGTCAGGCTGCTCGGGCAGAACTGCCGAGACTCAGTGATTCCTGACACCATCTAGAAGATGGTGGCCGGGCGGGCGACTCTAACTGCGCTTTTCTCTCTTTCAGAACTCTTCCTCCAACTGGAAGTAAGTACCCAGGGGTCTCTCGGGTCTGCAGGCGCCTTCCTTCTGAGGCTGCGGCGCCTCTTGACCTGCTGCCCTCCTCTGTCAGCAAGTATACGGTTTGGAAAGCTTCGCCACCGTCTGCTTGATGCGGGGATGCTCGGTGTCTGCTCAGACCTTCCGTTCACTCGGGAGTCACCACGCAGGGTTGGGACGTCACACCTCACTGTCTCTTGGTTTTGAATTTAAAATCTAATTTATATATGTGTGTGTCAGTGAGTGACTACCACGTACGTGGGTGCCTCTAGAGGCCAGAAGAGGGTGCTGGATCTGCTGAAGCTGGAGTTACAGACAGTTGTGAGCCACCCAACTCGGGTGCTGAGAACCAAACTCAGGTCCTTTGGAAGAGCAGCAAGCATCCTCCCTGCTCCCCCACCTCTCCAGACCACAGCCTGTCCGTTTGAAGTATCTCAGGACTGTTGCCTGGGATATCCTAGCCCTCTCTCCCCCAGCCCAGTCTCTGAGCTGGCTCCACAGATCCATCTTACGCTGGGACTTCACTGGGTCTGGAGCAAGATGGAGTTAACATTGCCACTCATGTCACAGACAGCTTCGTGCTGTGGTACTGAGACAGGGGCCTGGTTCTGGAGTGTTAGGCTGCCCCTGGGTCCTAGAGGGGGTACGGGGTGCTCTTTGGTTTGTCAGAGTCACATTACTTGGAAGACATTTTTATTAAAATCAGTTCGGCACACACACACACATACACACACATACACACACACACACACACACACACACACACACACACACACACACACACACACACA